CTCGGGGCTCCCTGGGGCGTGTTGGGGGCTTCCTGGGGCAGCCGGGGGGCGGTTTGGGGTCGAAGGCTCGACATTTTCGTCGGGCTCCCCCTCCGGGCCTCCTGTTGGAACTGTCCTGGAACCCCCCGTGGGTCGTTTTGGGTGCTTCTTCAGCGGCCTTGGGGCCCTCGTAAGCCGTCTAGGAGCCCTGGGGCAGCCGGGGGGCGGTTTGGGGTCGAAGGCTCGACATTTTCGTCGGGCTCCCCCTCCGGGCCTCCTGTTGGAACTGTCCTGGAACCCCCCGTGGGTCGTTTTGGGTGCTTCTTCAGCGGCCTTGGGGCCCTCGTAAGCCGTCTAGGAGCGCTCTTGGGGCCTCTCTGGCCGTCTTGGGGTCATTCAGGAGGCTTCTTGGGTTGTCTTGGACGTTGTGATCGCAGAAGATGAAGCGGATGTGCAAAACACGTAGGTTTTCAATTGGACATGGGGCGATTTTTGCTCTTTGAGGCCGTGTCGGGACGCCTGTTGAGGGCTTCTTAGGGCTTCTTGGGTGCCTCTTGGGCCGTCTGGAGGCCAGCGTGGGCGTTTTCGACCGATCTTTCGGCGGCCCATGGCCTTCTTTTACCCTCCAGAGGGCTTTTTGGTGCCCTCTTGGGTTGTTTTTGGGGGCTTTGAACGATATTGGGGTCCTCTTGGGTCGTCTGAGGGCCCTTTTGGAGGCCTTGTGGGCCGTCTTGGGGCGGCCCAGGAGGCTTCTTGGGCTGTCTTGGACGGTTGGGATCGCAGAAGAGGCGCATGTGCTGAAGGACATGGGGCGTTCTTGCTCTTTGAGGCCGTCTTGGGACGCCTCTTGAGGGCTTCTTGGGGCTTCTTGGGGGCTTCTTGGGCCGTCTGGAGGCCAGCGTGGGCGTTTTCGATCGATCTTTCGGCGGCTCATGGCCCTCTTGGACCGTACAGAGGTCCTGTTGGTGCCCTCTTGGTCGGTTTCGGGGCTCTCTGCCCCCCCGTGATGCGTTCGAGTGGACCCCATGGGGACCCCCCCCTCAAAGTCAGTCGACTGGACGGGCCTCCTGGGGGTTTGGGGAGGGGGAAACATCTCACACGCCAATGAAACCCATGGGGTCGGCGGATTTCCAGGGAGGCCCCGACGGCCTCCAGAGCACCCTTCACGAGGCCCAGATTGCCCCAGAGGGGACTCCGCATCGACGTCGTGTTCGAATCGCTCTTGGAGGGCTTTCCAACGGCTCAAGGGAGGCCCAAAAGACGCCCCGGAGAGCCCCAGAAACGCCCAAGAGCGCCCCAAGAAGACCCCACGAGACCCCCAAGAGCGCTTTGGGAGCCACCCAGACAGCTCACAAGAACCCCAAGACGGCCCGAGAAGGACCAAGAAGGCCACAAGAGACTCCCGGGAGCGCCCCAGGAGGCCAAGATGGCGCCGAGACGGCCTAAGAAAGCTCCCACAGAACCCCACGACGCGCCCAGACAGCCCAAGAAGACCCCAGAAGCCCATAAGAGGACCCAAGGGGCCCCCAAGAAGCCCCCAACAGGCCCCAAGAGAACCCCGCGCGGCGCCAGGAGCAACGTCTTTTTCCAATTGACTCGTACTGTCCTCTGTCGTCGTCGTCGTCGTCATCATCGCCCTCCGCATTCTTCCTCGTACTCGCCCTCGTTCTCTTCGTCCTCGTCCTTATGCTTCTCTTCCTCCTCGTTGTCCTCATGCTCCTCCTCGCTATCCTCACGTTCGCCACGTCGTCCTCGTCATCGACTCCTCGTTGTCCTCGCCGTTTCTTCTTCGCCCAATACGCCCATTAGACTACAGCGGCGCTTCCCGTTCTTGTCCGATCAGGTTTCCAGGAAGGCCCCGACGGCCTCCAGAGCACCCTTCACGAGGCCCAGATGGCCCCAGGGCTGCAAAATGGAGCGAAACGTTGGGGGCACCTCGGACCAGGGGCGCCTTCAGGACCCCCCGAAAAGTGGTTGCCTTTCCCCAATCCGCTGCGGATCAGCTCCAGGCACGGGCCTCTCCCCGCGTTCCATGGGCCGTCCGTCATCCACCGTCCTCGGGATGAGAATGATGATTCGCAGGCCTAGAGGTTGACACCAACACCAAGATCGGCGGTGTGCCTCCACCGAGGGAAGAAGATCCCGATCTCGGTGATGGTGGTAACATTCTGGCTTCCAAGGTGGCCGAAATATTTCCACCAACACCGAAATCTAGGATCATCTTTCCCATGTGGAGGCAGCCCCCTGTGCTGGTGTTGGTGCCAATTTCCAGGCCTCCAAGATGAGGATGATGAAGCTAATCAGGATGATGAGGATGACCACTACCTCATCCTCATCATCCCCATCCTCACCATCCTCATCCTCGGGCCCCCCCTACGCGTGGCCAGCTTCCAGCACCGGCCTCGCCCCGGCCCGAGCGGCGGCGGCGCGGGCGAGCGGCCGCGCAAGCGGTCGCGCCACTCGCGCGCGCGGCCATGCGCGGCCGCCGCGATGTCGGTCGTCAGCCGCCGCGGCTCGCGAGGCCGCCCCGGCTCTCAGGGGCAACGTCCCTCTGGAAGGCGTATGTATCAAGGGGGGGGCTCCTACGCTTGCCCATCCTCCGCCCCCGCTTCCCTCCTCCTCCGCCTCCTCCCTCCTCCTCCCTCCTCCTCCTCCTCCTCCTGCTCCTCCTCCTCCTCCTCCTCCTCCTCCAACCTCCCTGCACCCGTTCCAACAGAACATGTCCAACCTCTCCCCCGCGGATCCCAGGGGGAGGCGATTAATTCGCCATTTGGAGTAGGGGGGGACCGCGAGGCTCGAGGTTCTCGGATGTTTTCGTCGGTTCTTTGGCTTCGGGGGGCGTTCAGCGGCTGCGCCTCGCCGAGGGCTTTCCCGGGGTGCCCAAGTCGTCCCGAACCTCGCCAGAGAGTGGAGTTATGACCCGAAAGCCACGGGCAGCAGCAGTAAGCGGGGGTAGGTTCAGGGGGGGATGCATCGACCTCTGATCGTCCACTGATCGCCGATAGGGGCCCGATGCTCCTCCACCCCCAGGAACGTACGGATTCGGTATCGGGAGCCTATCGCCGATCTATCAAAGGTGTGTTGCTGATTCCAGCTCGATGCTTCCCTCCCCGCCCTAGCCCGTCCCCCCACACGTTCCCCCTCAGGCTCGCCGACGGCGCTGGGCCGCATCGGCATCCGCGGAAGGAACCTGTGCACCACCCACCATGCCTGACCAGGCACTCCTTCGAACAAGAAAGATCGGTATGATCATGCGCCATCGGAGGTCCTCGCGGATGCGTTCCTCGCGCCAGGGAGAACGTCCAGCGCCGATCCAAGAAATGCGCGCGGACCTACGTTGATGTTTATGAAGTTCTCGTCTCATAATCCTTGCCCCCAGCTTTGCACATGTCTCGGAGGCCTCTTGAGCCGTCTTGGGATCATATTTGGCGTCTTGGTGCGGTCTTCGGGCGCCTCGTGGTCCTCTTGGACCGTCTGGATGGGAGCCTCTTTGGGCCCTATTGGCCAGTCGTGGGGCCCTCTTGGGTCTCAGAGAGGCATGCGGGAAGCCGCCCTGGAGCCCAGGGGGCACGCCGGGAACCCCAGCAGATTTGAGGATTCGGGATCCAGGCCTCTTAAGGCCTCCTCAGGAGGAGGAGGAGGAGGAGGAGGCGGAGGAGGAGGAGGAGGAGGAGGAATAGGACGAGGACTCCCCCAACCAAGACCCCTCAGCCCGCGCTGCCCTTCCGCCCTTCCGGCGGCGCCGCCCTTCCTCCTCATCTTCGGTAAAGGACCCGAGGACACGTCCACTCCGTGCCCACCGGCACGGTGGTGGATTCCGATGTGCTCGGGGCCTAAGAGACGGGGGTCCGTGCAAACGCGGGTCAGCCAGGGCACTGGGTCCTGCAGGATCCTGCGAAGGCCCCCTCTGGCTGACCCAAGTTAGCGAGCCGCTCGTGGCCGCGCATATTGGCTGACCCGGGTTTGCGAAGACCTGCGTTGCAGTTTTGTTTGTTTCCTGCATCGCAGGTTTTTGGCTTCCTGCTGGCCCGGGTCTGGATTGGCCCGGGTCAGAGGATTTTTGATGTGCACTGGGCCTGGGGACGACTGAGGCTTGAAAGGACCCGAGGGCACGCCCCCGCTCCGTGCCCAGCTGCACGGTGGCGGGACCTGCTCGTGCAGGGGTTCCTCCCTCGCTGGGCAGTCAGGCCCTGCTGGCCTCGGCCGGGAGGGCGCGCGCACCGTGCCGGGGCACGGGGACGGCCCTGGCCGGGTGGCCACACGTGAAGCCTACCCTGATGTCGGGCCTGTCCCTTTACAGGGGGAGCATCAACAAATAGTCAAAAGCTGGTCAGGGGACGATTTTCGAGTTTTTTTTGGGTTATTTTTTCAGCATGTTTTGGCTCTGTTTTGTTTTTCGCTCAAAATCCGCCTGTAGGGGGACACGCCCGACCCAAGCCTACCCCCACCCCTAACGATTTCTAAGGGGGGATGGGGGTTCACTTCGTACGGGAGCTCCCGAGCGGAGTGAACCCCCACCCCACCTCAGACATCGTGGGGGGGTCACATGCGGCCACCTACTGGCCAGGCATGGTGGTGGTGGTGCAGAGGTGCCTTCCGCGCAGCCCCCCTTCCCTGAGCAGCCCGGTGCTCCCCGAGCTGCGCGGGCTGCGGAGGCGGGGCGCCGTGCTCGGGTCGGCCGAATGGGTCGCCCTCTGGGCGCGCAGGGCGAAGCGCCTGTGCGCCGACACCGTCAACAGGAGTCGGAAACTGGAACATATACATTACCAGTGGCGTGCTGTTTTTCAATCCCTGGACTTCTTGCGGGTCAGGAACAACGTCGGGGTGGTGTGGTGTATAGTTGTTCCCCCGTATTCCCGGGGAAATGACGAAAATGTATACACCAGCATCCCGTATACACCAGGATCCGCTTTACTGTACGAGTTTCAGTGCAGGGCCAGAAAAAGCGTCGGTGTATAGAGTTCGGTTCCCTGAGGAGCTCCTTCCAGGCCCTGATGCTCGTCTTCACGGTGTACGCCCTGTTCGGCGACGACTTCCGCGTGTCCCTGACCTCGCAGCCGGCCGACCTCGTGTTTAACGTCGTCACGTGCCTGGCCCTGGCGCTGTTCACCTTCGAGCTGGTGATCTCCAGCATCGGCAAGGCGGACTACTTCCTGAGCTTTTTCTTCTGGCTGGATCTGATCGCCACCCTGTCCCTCATACTCGACATAACCTACATCTACGATGAGTTCATCAACCTCACCCAGGATGCCGAGGACAGCGAGCTGGCCCGCACTGGCCGCGCGTCCCGCGTGGGCACCCGGGCGGGCCGGGTGATTCGGGTCATCAGAGTGATCCGGTTGGTACGGATCATCAAGCTCTGGAAGGCCTTCCTTCAGGCTCAGAAGAGGCTGAATGGCAACACCGACCAGGAGGGCGCTGGCCCCGGAGAGGGGATCGAGGACGAGAGTTACAGGGAGTCTCGCGTGGGCCAGAAGCTATCTTACATGACCACCCAGAAAGTCATACTGCTCATCCTCTCTCTGCTCATCGTGCTGCCGTTTGTTAGCGTGGACAGCTTCCTCAAGGAACTCCCCACGTCCGCCGTCTACGGCGCCGACGTCGTCCAGAGGGCTTTCTCGCAGTGCAGAACCGCCAACGGCACATACTCGGAGCAGACACAACGGCATGAGCAGAAGCTTTCGGAGGTCTGCGCGGGTTTTTTTGGATCGGCGCTGAACCCCCCCCTGGGTGCCCAACGCCGATCCAAGAAATCTACGCGGACCTCCGAAAGTGTATGTCCACGCAGTTTTTTCTTCTTCGAGCATACCTCGGCGGCGCGCGAGAGCTGAACTCGACGCACTCCTGCGAGAGGTTCGAGAAGCAGCTCACCATGTACATCGGGTTCCACCACAGCCTGGATGGCACCGGCTGCAGCAGCGGCCTCAGGCAGGCGTTCGACTCCTCGTGCCGGCTGGACCTCGGGGGCAGCATTAAGGGGGAAAAGGCTCAGGGGGGATCGATGTTCGAGGTTTCAGATTCTTTCCTGTATTCGTTGGTTCTCGGCTGTTCTCCAGCCTCCGGATGTGTTCCTGCGGCTGCGCCTCGCCGAGAGCGTTCCGGGAGTGCCCAGACGGTCCCGAACGGCTGCTGGATATCCGAGTAATGACCCGAAAACCAGGGGCAATGACGGGGGGAAGGGGACAGGTTCTTGGGGGGGATGCATCGATCCCCAAGCGCCCATTGATCGCCGAGAAGGGTCCGATAGCCCGCCCCGCCGAGGAGCGTGAGGTTTCGCTGGCGGGGGCCTATCGCTGGTCAATCGGCGATGCATCGCCGAATCCAGCTCGATGCTTCCCCCTCTGAGCCGTTGCCCCCCTGTCGTTGCCGCTCAGCCCGAGGCGGGGATTTAGAGGGTTCGTCTTCGGGGACCTCGGCAAGGGGTGGATACGGATAGATTCGGCCCCCCCTGGGGCCAAAGCGTTGTATCCATGTCCACCGCCCGCTGGGGTTCCAGGAGGTCGGTTCCCCAGGCGGTGGATGTGCAGTGTCCGCCTCGCACTCAGGACCTCGGCTGGATCGGCTTCCGTGCGGACGCCGCGTTCGGCGGCTACGCGTACAAGCCCATCGCGGAGCACTGGAGCGACCTCTTCGGCGGTGCCCCCGAGGGAGGCCTCCTGGGGCTGGGCGTGCAGGCGAAGCTGGACGGGGGGCAGGCGCGGGCGTGCGAGGAGAGCCTGAGCTCGTGGCGGTACACCTCCCTGATGGAGGACCGGGGCTCGAGCTGAGCGGTGGCGATCTCGGGGGTCGTCTTCGCTTCGGCGCCGTCTCGCAGCAGAGCGAGGGAACACGAGCGCAGGACAGAGACGGAGAGCACCGCTCGGGTCGAGCCCTGAACAGAGGACCCGGGGCTGGCCTGCCCCGAGGGCCTGCGGGACTCGGAGAGCACCACCATCTCTCCCATTTCGGGTGCTGCCGGAGGCGCGCCGAGCCCAGGGGGCAGAGGATGGCAGGGCTGCGGGCGCAGCCCCCCCCCAGGGTATTGTCGGACCGAGGTACAGGATCGAGGTCGGTTCGGGGAGGGTGCCCTGAATGTTCTTCGTGTCTGTCGGATGTTCTTGTGCATCCTCGTGGAGGGTACCCTCGAGTGTTCCTCAGTTTGGCCGGCGGAGGGTCTCGTGCTCTTGAGGGCTCGTCTTCTGTCCTAGGTCGGGCCGTAGTCCGAGCTTGCCTCAGCAGGCCCCCCAGCTTCTCCCAGCTGGCCTCAACAGGTCCCTCGAGTGGCCCCCGTCGTTCTCAACACCCCAGCCTTGGGGCGCGGGGGGCCCCAGGGGCGCCGCCAGAAGCGGCGCCCGGGTGTCGAGGCCAGCTGGGACTGCTCGGGGGGCCTGTTGAGGCCAGCCGGGGCTGCCTGGGGGGCTGTCTGTGCGCAACCCGCGGCCCTACCAGGAGCAAGAGGTCAATATGAGCGACGGAAGAGAATGGGGTCGGCTGCGCCGTCATTGGCGCGTGAGTTCCCCCTGGAAGGGCGCAACAAAGCGTCCTCTTTGTCATTGTAGCGCGCCGCGCTGGCAGCCCACGTAAGCCACCGCGTAATGTCGCTGTGCCACTGTGCGCAAGACCCGTTTCTTTGCGTCGCTGATCTGATCATGATGCGTTCCACGGTATTTCGGATTTCCGAGTTTTTCGAATGCCCCACACAGGCTGCAGAAAGGAGAGTTGCTAGATACTCCAGAATTTCTGGAACGCATCCGGAGCCAATCCTATCATGACGTTCATGTTGTCTCAAAGGTGGCCCTGGCATTTCCAGGGAGGCCCTGGGGGTTATCAGAGCACCCCTCACGAGGCACAGAGGTTTCTAGGGGCCGCAAGATGGCTCTAAATGCAGGGGACACCTTCGGGCCATGGGCGCCTCTGGCATCACCCGGCCCATGCTCATCGAGCTGAACAGCGAGCCCGACCTGATCTTCGTGTTTGCCTCGCGCCTAGTTTTCTAGGCCTCCTAGATGGGTTTCGAGCAGATGTGGTCGGAGGATCGCGCCGCATCGCCGATGCATCGGCGATGCGGCTCGATGTGGATCCCGAAATTCTCCACGCCGACGGCGCTGATGCACCGCCGAGGTTCCGATGCATCGGCGATGCGGCGCGATGCTCCGACCCCATTTACAGTAGGTTCGCGTCGTGTCGACCAGCGGCGACCCCGCAGCCGGCGTTCAACGTTGAACGCTGCGGGCGACCCATCATCGGTCGACGTTGAACGATCTCACGTTAAACGGCCGATCGTTGAAGGTTGAACGAGCCCCGCTGTGCTTGGAACCAACGCCAGGGTTTAGACGACACACACCCGCGGTGCCCAGATCTCCGACGATGTAGTATGATCTGTTCCGTTCCTCTGGGGCCCGCCATTGGGTCCCAGGACCATGCAAAATGGAGCTAGGATTAAGTCGAGCCTGTCCATCTACAGGGGGAATATTCAAAATAGTAAAATAATAGTACGGGGACCGTGTTTGGAATATTTCGTAGCATTATGGGAGTATTTTGTTAGTATTTTTTATTTTTGGCCAAACTCCCCCCGCATGGGGGACAGGCCGGACTTAAAGCTAGGACGGAACACCACCCCCAGGGAAGGTGCGGGACTTCCTGGGGCCGCGCACTGAACAGATCTCCTTGTCGGATGTCTGGGCAGTTGTCAAGTTCCCAATGGGAATGCCGCAAGTTTCTAGCGCACTCCCCGTTGTCGAGGCCCTGGTGGCGTCGTCGACGTCCTCGCCGTCGCCGCCGCTGCCGTCGTCGTCCGTCGTCCTCGTCGTCGCCGTCCTCGTGGTCCTCGCCGCCGCCTCCGTCAGCCGTTGGCCGCCACCCGGCGGACAGCGACCCTGGGGACCGAAACGCGGGCGCCAGGGAGTGCGCCGGGCTCGCGGGGGCTGCGCGCGCGCCATGTGCGCGGCGCGCGCCTGGTGTGATGTTTGGTGGTCCCCGTGCGTGCCAGACGCGCCAGCGTCGCTACATGCTAAGGACGGAGCAACAACACAGACGCAGATAGTCGTTGAGTCCCAGGAAAATATGGAGCATGTAGGAAGTGGAGATGAAGACGAACATCCAGGAAATATTGATAATATGGGGAATCCTGGGATTTGTGTCTATTTATTTGTGTCCCTGGGCCCCTTCAGTTGCGCCAGGTGCACCACGCACGCTACTTGCTCGGGGTGCGCGACGCGTGCGGAGTACATCAGATGTGCTGGTGTTCGTAGTGGCGCAGCTCTGACAGCATTTCGACCCCCCACCGCGAGAGCGTTACAGTCGGCTCGCCGTACAGTTTTTCTTCCTGCAGTGCGTGGTGGTGTGCGAGAGCAGCGGGCAACGAAGTGGTTCTCTTTTTTCTCTCCTTTCTCTACTCCACCTACTCTCTCTACTCTCTCTCTGTCTCTCGGTCTCTCTCGCTATGTATATGTATACGTATATGTATATATATATATACATATATACAGTGTTTGTTGATTCGTTTCCTTTTTTTTTGTTGTTTTTTCTTTGTTTCTCTCTCTCTCTCTCTCTCTCTCTTTCGTTTTTTCAACCATCCTGTGGTGTTGGGTCCTCGTTTTGAAGAGAGCGCCGCGCTTCTCACTCCTCCCGCTGCCTCCCTCTCCCCATCATCAGCATCATCGCCACTATCATCGCCACACGTTTCGTGGCCCCATAGGAAGCTTCGCCGAAGGTTCCAGTGGCGCAGCCCGCATTCGTCACGCACACCCATTTCGGCACACCCTCACACGTGGCCCCATAGGGAGCTCCGCAGAAGGTCCCAGTGGCGCACGCCGCATGCGTCATGCACACCCATGTCGGCAAGCCCCTCACACGTTTCGTGGCCCCATAGGGAGCTCCGCCGAATGTCCCAGTGGCGCAGCCCGCATGCGTCACGCACACCCATTTCGGCACACCCTCACACGTGGCCCCATAGGGAGCTCCGCAGAAGGTCCCAGTGGCGCAGCCCGCATGCGTCACGCACACCCATGTCGGCACATCCCTCACACGTTTCGTGGCCCCATATGGAGCTCCGCCGAAGGTCCCAGTGGCGCAGCCCGCATGCGTCACGCACACCCATGTCGGCACACCCCTCACGAGGATCGTGGCCCCATAGGGAGCTCCGCCGAAGGTCCCAGTGGCGCAGCCCGCATGCGTCACGCACACCCATTTCGGCACACCCCTCACACGTCTCGTAGCCCCGTAGGGAGCTCCGCGGAATGTCTCAGTGGCGCAGTCCGCATGCGTCACGCACACCCATGTCGGCACACCCCTCACACTTTTCGTGGCCCCATAGGGAGCTCCGCCGAAGGTCCCAGTGGCGCAGCCCGCATGCGCCACTGACACTCATGTCGGCACACCCCTCACACGTTTCGTGCCCCCATAGGGAGCTTCGCCGAAGGTCCCAGTTGCGCAGCCCGCATGCGTAACGCACACCCATGTCGGCACATCCCTCACACGTTTCGTGGCCCCATATGGAGCTCCGCCGAGTGTCCCAGTCGTGCAGCCCGCATGCGTCACGCACACCCATGTCGGCACACCCCTCACACGTTTCGTGGCCCCACAGGGAGTTCCAGCGAAGGCCCCAGTGGCGCAGCTGGGGCAGTTTGCGTCGTGCTCGAAGCGGTGCCCTCGCCAGAGAGCTGGGCTTCACAGATCTTATCCGCGAGGTCTGACCTGGGGAGCGGCGCGCCCGAGCCGCGCCATATCCAGGCTGTCCAACAGTTCGGCGTGGCGCCGCGGACGACCCGTGCGCGTCGCCGGGACCCACGCGGGGCGACCAGCGTGCGTCGCGGGGACTCCGTGCTGCGCACTTCTGTGCGGCAAGACGCAGCGCGCCCCTGGGGGCACGCGGGGGGCCCCGCAGCACTTGTCACTCCCCAAAACACCACATGCTTGGAAATTGAGACTTCAGAGTTTGGCCGAAGACCTGAGTACACCCCAAGTCGTGCCTCAGGGCTCGGTGGCGAAACATTAAGATATTCGGGCGTATTCAGGTTTGCATGCATGTCTGTATGCATGTGTGCAGGTATGTATGTACGCCAGTATATATACATGTGTGTACGTATGTCTGCATGGATATACGTACGTAGGTGTGTATGCATGTATGCATGCACGTGTGTATGTATACATGTACGCATGGAGTGTATGCATTGTAATGCGTTCTACGGCAATATGATGTAGCTGAATGCAGTGTAATTTCGTGCGATCCACTGTAATGTAGTGTATGTAATGTACGCAATGTATGTATGTATGTATGCGTGTAGGTGTGTATGCATGCACGTCTGTACGTACGTATGAATGTGTGTAGTATATACATGGCTGTTTTTTTGCATGCATGCATGTATGTATGTGCATGTAGACATGTTTGCGTGCATGTATGTATGTATGTATGCATGCATGTATGTATGTATGCATGCATGCATGTATGCATATACGTATGTATGTATGTACGTGTGCATGTAGGTGTTTCTTCATGCATGCATGCACGTATACATGCCTACACGTGTGTGTGTATGTATGTACGTATAGTTGTACATAACCATGTACGCATCTACGCATGTATGTATGTATAATTGTGTGCATGCATGTATGCTTGTATGTATGTACGTACGTACGTATGCCTGGATGGATGCATGTAAATGAGTGTGCGCACGCATGCACGCATGTATCATGTATGCATGCATGCATGCATGTATGCATGACTGTATGTATCCATGTATATCTGACTGTCTGTCTGTCTGTCTGTCTGTATGTATGTATGTATGTATGTATATATGTACGTATGTGATTATGTATGCATGTATGTATGCGTGTATGTATGTATTTATGCATGCGTGTGTGCACGCACGCATTCATGTCTTCCTGTCCGTCCGCCTGTCTGTTTGTCTCTCTGTTTTGCTGTCAGTCTGTCTGTCTGTCTGCATGCATGCATGCATGCATGTATGTATGTATGCATGCATGCATGTATGTATGTATGTATGCATGTATGCATGTATGTATGTTTGTTTGTATGTATGTATGTATGTATGTATGTGTGTGTGTGTGTGTGTGTATGTGTGCATGTGTGTATGGGTGTATGTATGCATTCATGCATGAACTGTATGGATGTATGTATGTATGAATGGATGGATGCGTGTGTGTGTGTCTCTATATAGCTGTACAGGAACTGCGGGAGGGTGAGGGAGGGAGGAAGAGAGGGAGGGAGGGAGGGCGAGTGTGAGAGAGAGAGAGAAAGAGAGAGACAGCGAGAGAATGAGAGAGGGAGAGTGGCCCGCTTCGGAGCCCTGGGATCTCCAGAAGGCTGTCCGAGGGAAAGGTCACCTGTCCCGGGGCGGGGTGCAGAGCTCCGAGAGGGGGGGGTGCTTCACGAGCGCAGCGTGAGCTCGGTTGTCTGGACCCTGCTCGCTCTCCGCCCTTTCCGTGGCCATCGCTCTCGCCATAATTCTTTGCCCCCTCCACATGCACAGGACAAGGGAAAAGGAGGAGGCATGAGAAAGAGGACGGGGAGGTGGAAGGAGGATTGGACGAGGAGGAGGGGGAGGAGGAGGAGGAGGAGGAGGAGGAGGAGGAGGAAGAGGAGGAGGAGGAGGACGAGGACGAGGAGGAGAGGAGGAGGATGAGGAGGAGGAGGAGGAGGAGGAGGAGGAGACGGAGGAGGAGGAGACGGAGGAGGAGGAGGAGGAGGACACGTCATACGAATAGCAGTCATCAAACTACTACGAATACTATTAATACTACTGCCGCGATGATCACCACGACTACGACTAGCTGACTACTGCTACGCATGCAAATGCCACGAATAATAATACCTAGGAGAGTAACATCATCGTTATGCATCTCAGTACTACACTGACAAATGCCCACATTCATAACAGTGCTACTAGCAATGATGCTCGTAGTAGTAGTCGTAGTCGTAGTCGTAGTCGTAGTCGTAGTCGTAGTCGTAGTCGTAGTCGTAGTCGTAGTCGTAGCCGTAGTCGTAGTCGTAGTCGTAGTCGTAGTCGTAGTCGTAGTCGTAGTCGTAGTCGTAGTCGTAGTAGTAGTAGTAGTAGTAGTAGTAGTAGTAGTAGTAGTAGTAGTAGTAGTAGTAGTAGTAGTAGTGGTGGTACTTCTACCAATGTTACTGATACTCGTACTTCTAATACATAAGACAATGCTATTCGTGCTAACAGTAGTAACACATATCGTACCAATGCTACTACTCGTTAATATTACCAGCATTGCGGCTACTACTACGAATGCGATGGATACTATTAGTGGTGTTAATATTTTTAACAGTAAGCTGACACTAATACTACTAATACTACTAATGCTAATACGATTGTATGTGGAGGAGGAGGACGAGGAGGAAGAGGACGAGGACGAGGAGGAGGTGGAGGAGGAGGAAGAGTTGGAGGTGGTGGAGGAGGACGACGAGAAGGAGGAGCAGCAGGAGGAGCAGCAGGAGGTGGGAAGAGGAAGGCGGAGTGATGACGACGAGGCGGGCGTACGATTTGGAGTGTACTGCCGAGGACCTGCGGCCGTGGGCGAGGAAGGCGGCGGTGTTCAGCATACTCCAGACGCTCTTCGTTTGCGCCACCCCCTGAGCGGAGCCTCGATCGCGCCCTCGCCTCTGACATCCTCCCTTAGTGAAAGTACACGACGATGGATTTCTGATATTTTTTTGCCTCCGGGGACCCTTACCCATCGTTCGATGAAAGTTGGTATCGTGGGATTAACATATTCCCGTGCACTTGGGCGACTCCCTATTTGAAAAGCCGAGTGTTTTCATTTTCTTTGCTTTCCATGGGGCGAGCGGGGACCCAATCTATTTTCAACGCTTCCCATTACATGTCTCTACCCCTTTATCTCATGGCGCTGTCGGGGCCTCTCGGGGGCGTCGAGGCCTTTGTGGGGCTGTTTTGGAGTCTCCTGGGGCCTCTTTGGAGCTTCTTGGGGGCTAGTGGGGGCATGGTGGAGGCCTCTTGGGCTCTTGGGGGCCGCTTGTGGCTTTTGGAAGGCCTCTTGGGGCCTCCTGTGCGCCTCTTGGGGCGGACGGATTCTCGGCTCGTGTTTCCCCTGTGTAGCCCCTCTTGGGGCCGTCTTGGGCGCTTCTTGGGCCGTCTTGGGGCCCTCTTGGGCCGTCTTTGGGCCCTCTTGGGGGCCTGGGTCTCTTGGGGTGTCTCCAAGGCTTCTTGGGCCGTCTTGGGGCCATCTTGGGCGTCTTCGAACCGATCGTTCGGCGACTCTGGGCCCTCTTGGGCCGTCTTGGGGGTCTCTCAGGCCCGAAGGAGTCAAGGGGCACGCGCCAAGCCCATGAAGATTGGGCAATCTGGGGTCCGGGCCCTTGAGGACTGGGCCGCAGGGATTGAGCAACGGGCTCGAGGACACGCCCACTCCGTGCCCAGCGGCACGGTGGCGGATTCCGATGTGCTCTGGTCCTGGGGACTGTCGACTCGGGATGGGAGGCTGGCCCGCGGGAAGGGGCCCAGGCATCTGAAGGTCCGCGCTGTGAGCAGATCGCGGCGTCTGGCGTTGGGGCCGCGCACGCTGCAGGTCCGGGGTCTGCGCCCGCGCGCGCGGGCATCTCCGCCGCGGCCCGCCCCGTCCCCCCCTCAACCCCCGCGCGAGGGCTGGGGGCCTGGGCTGCGCTGGGGGGGGGGCGGTTTGCATTCCTGGACGCGGGCATGTCTGGGTCGTACGGGCCGCCGCGCTCGGGCCCGGGCCCGGGCTGTTGGTATTCGATCCGACGACGCGATGCTGCCCCCCCCGCCCAGCGGACGTCGCCGCTGGGGGCAATTGAAATAGGGTAATTGAGGCCCCCCCCGCCCTCTGGGCGCCAGCTGCGTTCGTTAGCGAAGCTAGGCCAGACAACAAACTGATCTGCCACCTCCTCCAGGTGATGATGATGATGCAGATGATGCAGATGATGATGATGATGATGATGATGATGATGATGATGATGATGATGATGATGATGATGATGATGATAATGAGGAGGAGGATTCCGCTGATGGATATGATGATGATGATGATGATGATGATGATGCTGATGACGATGATGATGATGATGATGATGATGATGATGATGCTGATGACGATGTGGATGATGATGCGATCCGGACAATGATGATGCTGCTGCTGATGCCGTTGATTATGATGATGATGATGATGTTGATGCTGATGATGCTGATGATGATGATGTAGCTGATGATGATTCTGCTGATGGTGGTCTCGATTATGCTGCTGATGATGATGAAGACGGTGCTGATGATGCTGATGATGCTGTGGATGATGTTGAGTCTGACGATGACGATGATGATGAGTCTGATGGTGACACGACGACGGTGATGATGAGTCTGATGATGATGATGATGATGTGATGCTGATGATGCTGATGATGATACTGATGAAGGCGACGATGATGACGAAGACCATGCTGATGATGATGATGATGCTGATGCTGATGGTGATGATGATGCTGCTGATGGTGGTAACGCTAATGACGATGCTAATGATGACGACCACGCCGTCGGCCTCGACGACGATGATGAAGATGCTGCTGATGATGATGATGACGATGACGATGCTCGCATGGCTCATGCCGGCGACGATACGATGCTGATGGTGGTAATGACGATGCAAATGTTGATGCTGCTGATAATGATGATGATGATGATGATCACGATTTTAATGACCTCGACGGTGATAATGATGCTGCTGATGCTGATGATGATGATGATGATTATGATGCGGATGATGACGGGGACCACGACCGTTGCGATGACCATACTGCTGATTACGATGACGATGATGACGATGACGATGACGACGATGAAGATTATTCTGATGGCGCTGATGCTGATGATGATGACGACGATGGCGATGGCGACTGCGAGGGTGATGACGATGGTGCTGCTGATGGTGGTGGTTCTGATGGTGAGTATGACTATGATGATGCTGCTGATGTCCATGACTACGATTCAGTATCTTTTGATGATGCTGATGCTGATGATGATGGTGGTGGTGGCGGTGATGATGATGACGATGACGATGACGATGATGATGATAATGATGCTGATGATGATGATGATGATGATGATGATGATGATGATGATGATTATGCGCTGGTGCTGGCAACGATGATTCATCCCAGGACGATAATGAAGATTGGGATGGCGGCGATGATGATGTTGATGATGGTATTGATGATGCTGCTGCTGCTGATGACGATCACGTTGACGACGATGATGCTTACGACGATGATGCTAGCGACGGTGCTGACGAAGATGCTAATGCTTATGATGATGATGCTGATGCTGATGGTGATCATGATGGTGACGACGACGATGACGACGACCACCACGACAACGATTGTGATGATGATCGCGGTGGTGATGATGATGCTGATGAGCATGTGGATGATAATGATACGATTGCGGACGATGACGCGGATGATGCCGCCTGCGACGATGATGACGATAGAAATGATGGCCATGCCGTTGACGAGTATGATGATGGTGATTATGTTGGTTATGATGATGCTGACGACGACGATGCTGATGATGATGATGCTGATCATGAAACTGATGAGGACGATGCCGTCAACGACGACGTTGATGATGCTCGCGATGATGATGATGATGGTGGTGCTGATGATAATGACGATGTCCACGATAATGATGGCGATGACGACGACGACGGCGACGACCAAGACCATGACCACGCTGCCAACGACGTTGCCGAGGATGATGATGATCACGATGACGAGGGCGACGACAACTACGACGACGACGCTGATGATGACGATGACGAGCATGATGAGGATGACGACGGCGATGACGACGATGACGATGCTGCGGATGATGATGCTGATGATGATGCTGTTGATGATGAGTGTGATACTGTTGCACATGAGGCTGATGCTGATGACGACGATGTAGCTGACGAAGCTGATGATTGCGATGATGACGCACATGATGCTGATGACGATGATGGTGATGATGACGATGATGATGACGACTATGATGGTGGCGAGGACGACGACGATGGTGCCGATATTGTTGCTCATGACGATGAGGATGAGGATGCCGATGCTGATGCTGATTATGATGATAATGATGCGAATGCTGATGATAAGCACGATGGTGACGACCAGGATGATCATGATGATGGTGGTGTTGGTGATGTTGATGCTGATGATGATGCTTATGCTGATGATGATGGATGTGATGACGCCGATGATAATGACGATGATGCCGATGATGATGATGATGATGATGATGATGATGATGCTGATGATGATGATGATGATGATGATGATGTTGATGATGGTGGTGATGATGATGATGCTGATGATGATGATGATGATGATGATGGTGGCGATTATGATGGTGTTTGTGACGGTGATGACCATGGCGACGGCGATGATTCTGATGACGATGACGTTGCATATGGCGATGACGTTGCCGACGACGAGAACGATACTGATGGTAATGATGATGATGCCGACGATATTGGTGGTGCCGATTATGACGATGATGTTGATGATGATGGTGATGATGACGATGATGATGATGATGGTGGTAATACTAATGGTGATGCTAATGATGACGACCATGACGTCGGCCTCGACGACGACGACGAAGCTGTTGATGATGATGATGCTATTGATGATGATAATGATGATGATGGTGCCTTTCGATGGTGGCGTTGATGGTGTTGCTGATGATGCTACGGTGGGGTTGATGATAAGGTGGTGTTGATGGTGTTGCTGATGATGCTGATGGTGGTGTTGGTAATGGCGAATGGCCTCAACGACGACGGCGTTAATGTTGATTATGTTTATTGTGCTGATGTTGATGATCGTGATGATGATGGTGATGATAGCGATCCTGATCATGATGAAGATGATGATGATGATAATGCTGGTGCTGATGATGATGGTGATGATGCTGCTAACGAGGAAGGTTGTGTTGATGGTGTTGCTGATGATGCTGATTTTGGTGACGGCGACGTTGCTGATGATGTTGATGATGATGATGCTGATGATGATGATGATGATGCTTGTGATGATGCTGCTGCTGATGATGATGATGATGATGATGATGATCGTGATCTGGATGATGATGCTGACGATGATGATGGTGTCGGTGGCGCTGATGATGATGCGAATGAAGATGAAGATGTTGATGTTGCTGATGATGATGATACTGATGATGACGACCGTGATGACGGTGATGATGATGTTGATTTTGATGTTGATGTTGTTGATGATGCTGATGATGCTGATGATGCTGATGATGAGAACGATGAGGATGATGCTGACGATGATGAGGATAATGATGCTGCTGCTGCTGATGATGATGATGATGTCGATGATGATGATGATGATGATGATGATGATGATGATGATGATGATGATGATGATGATGATGCTGATGCTGATGCTGGTGCTGATGCTGATGCTGATGCTGATGATGGGTAGTGCGCGCCGCCCCCTCCTCTCTGGCGTCGGCACGGGCCCCCGTTCGTTCCGCCCCTGTCCCTGCGGGGCCCTCGCCGCTCCAGCCGCGGGACCTGGGCCCCCCCAGGGCCGCCTCCGCCCTCGGCCAGCTGCCGCTGCGGCGCGGCTCGCCTCGTGGGGCTGGGCTCTTTCCCGGACGTGCTCGCGGCGCGACCAGTCGCGACGATCGCAGGCTTGGAGGTTGACGCCAACACCAACATCGGCGTTGTGCCTCCACCGAGCGCCGCGTGCGGCCCTCCCCGGCAGCGAGCCTCCGCCGAGGCCCTCGAGTATTCACTTACACTCTCGGCACCAGTGAGGTGCCCTCACCTGGCCCACCCTGTGCACCCCGACAGCGGGGGCCGCTGACCTCAGCCATAGTTTCGCAGGCTTGGAGGTTGACACCAACACCAATATCGGCGTTGTGCCTCCACCGAGGGAGGAAGATCCCGATGTCGGTGATGGTGGTAATACTCTGGCTTCCAAGGCGACCGAGATATTACCACCAACACCGAAGTCGAGGATCGTCTTCCGCCTGTGAAGGCACACCGCCGATGTTGGTGTTGGTGTCCATTTCCAAGCCTTCAAGACGAGCGTTTTTTCTGCCTCTGGCTTGGTATCGCTCGGACGTGTGCATCTTTTTCCGGCGAGGACCATCGAGGATCATTTTTGTTCACCCTGCGAGAAGAACATACACGCACGCCGCAGAACAGTGCCCAGGGAAGGGCCGTCCGAGCGATGGCGATCTGGGGCGCTTCACCGGGCCCCGGAACCGTCAACCCAACCCAACCGGTCCTGGGGAGAGGGTCGGGATTTTTTGGGACCCCGTATTGAACGAATGCCGGTGACCATCGCATGCCTGGGTGCAGTGTTCTGCCGCTGCTCGTCGTCCTGCTGCTGCTGCTCCTGCTCCTCCTGCTCCTCCTGCTCCTACTGCTCCTTCTCCTGCTCCTGCCCCCGCCTCCTTTCTCTCTTCTCTCTCTGCTCCTGCCCCTCCTTCCTTTCCTCTCTTGTCCCCCAGCTGGATCGGGGAGGGGTGCGAAGGTCATCCTGCTGATCGGGGCGCTGGCCTTCAGCCACGACGCGAACGTGCTGGTGCTGCAGCCGATCGAGCGGATGATCAACAAGGCCCGTCGCGCTTGCAGAGTCGTCGCTCGTCTCCCCCTCCTCTTCGTTTCTGGGCGACTGAGATGATGACGAGGAGGGGGAACCAGAGTAAAGGCCCAAGATGCATCAACGATGCTGCAACACAACCTCCTGCCCCACCATGCCCCCTACCCATGACCCTCGAAGGTCGTGCTTTCTCACTGCGCGAAGAGCCCCCTTGGGCGACGACCACCCCGCGGGACCGCCTTCCCCCGATGCTGCCAGGTGGAGAGGATCCGGGACAATCCGCTCTTCGCCATGAGGCTTGGGGACGAGACGTACAGGGAGGCGCAGGCGCAGGACCTCTGCAGGAGGATGAGACTATTCAGGAGGAGGATGAGAAGGAAGGACAAGGACGAGGAGGAACAGCAGCGGCAGGAGCACAGGAGGGAGAAACGGGAGGACCTGGATGACCAGGTGTGGGAGAGACGGGAGGACTGGTCTGAGTGTGATTGTGCGCGTGTTTTGTTGTTGTTGAACATTATTTATTCTAAAGAATAATTATTGTTGGGCCCCCTGGTGCGCGCCCCCCCTGCGCCGCCTAGGCCGCAGCTACATTTTCATCATTTTCGTGAGGAAGCCTCAGAAAAGAGGGTGTGTACAGGATCCGGTTGTTTTGTTGTAATCCGCTTTCCCTTGCAAAAAACAATAGAAAATGACATTTCTTGTTCTAATATAATCAAATTTCAAGAATCCCTTGCAAAAAATAAGGTAAAGTGGACATTCGCGCGCGCAAGACGAAATCCTTCCAAAACCTTAGTGTTCGCAGCGATTTTAACATACAAACATCAAAAAACCAATGGTTTTTCAACAAAAAAATGTCAAAATCTCATCCCGCGCGCTCTTGCGGATTCGTAGGAAACCCAACACTTTTTAAACATTTCTGTCAAACGGGCTTTTGCGAGCAACTTTTTCGAACTTCTGCGACAACGGTTGCGCACCTGCCAGGGCCATCATCCCTGTCAAATAATACCATGCGGGACACATTCGTTTTTTCTTCGCGCGCGCACGCCGAAATCTCCAAAAACCATTGGGCTTCTTAAGAATTTTAGCACCGCGCATCATAAAATCACACGAATCGCACCGTAGGTCCTCGAAAAACACCTGCACGACTTTTCAAAATTTCTACCCGCGCGCGCTGTCCGAATCCTAAAAAAACCAATGGTTTTCCAACCATCATGTTACCATATGCATCGCAACAGATGTTCTGTGGAACAACTTCTGTGGGTTAACAAGGCTTAACAACTTCTGTGGGTGTACGAACGTAGGCTTAACAACTTCTGTGGGTGTGTACTCCACGCCAGTGTAGTAGCCACGGTCGTCCGCAGGCCACGAAGTGAAGTGTCCGAACGTCATAGGGCGGGAAGCTGGGTGTGGGTGGTGGCGAAGAGTCGTGTGGATATTTGGTAGAGCTTGCACTGCCCCCCCACAAAGTGGGGGTATTGGCTGGCGTCGCATGAAAACCCTGGCACTGGTGAGAACACTGAGCGTTCGGGTAAAGTGATTGTTGTTGTTGTTGTTGTTGTTGTTGAACATTATTACTTCTAAAGAATAATTATTGTTGGGACCCCTGGTGCACGGCCCCCCCGCCGCGCCTAGGCCGCAGCCACATTTTCATCATTTTCGTGAGGAAGTCTCAGGCAAAACGGGTTGGTCCGGATCCGGTTGTTTTGTTACGGCCCGCTTTCCCTTGCAAAAAATAAGCTAAAGTGGACATTTCTTGTTCTAGCATAACCAAGCTTCAAGAATCCCTTGCAACAAATAAGGTAAAGTGGACATTCGCGCGCGCAAGACGAAATCCTTCCAAAACCTTAGTTTTCGTAGCGATTTTAACATAACAACATCAAAAAACATTTTTTTCTTTTTTTTTTTAAAGTCAAAATTTCATCCCGCGCGCTCTTGCGGATTCGTAGGAAACCCAACACTTTTTAAACATTTCTGTCAAACGGGTTTTTGCGAGCAACTTTTTCGAACTTCTGCAACAACGGTCGCGCACCTGCCAGGGCCATCATCCCTGTCAAATAATACCATGCGGGACACATTCGTTTTTTCTTCGCGCGCGCACGCCGTCGTCGTCGGCCGCGGGGCCCTGAATAGTAGCCACGGTCGTCCGCATGCCACGAAGTGAAGTGTCCGAACGTCATAGGGCGGGAAGCTGGGTGTGGGTGGTGGCGAAGAGTCGTTTGGAAATTTGGTAGAGCTTGAACCGGCCCCCCCACAAAGTGGGGGTATTGCCCGCCTCCTATGAAAACCCTGGCACTGGTGAGAACGGAGTGTCCCCACGTGCTAGTAATTGTTGTTGTTGTTGTTGTTGTTGTTGTTGTTGTTGTTGTTGTTGTTGTTGTTGTTGTTGTTGTTGTTGTTGTTGTTGTTGTTGTTGTTGTTGTTGTTGTTGTTGTTGTTGTTGTTGTTGTTGTTGTTGTTGTTGTTGTTGTTGTTGTTGTTGTTGTTGTGTGTAGGTGTGTGTGTGTGTTGGCCCCTACGGTCTGCACCGCTTGGGTGCTCTGTCCTGGCCCACCCTGTCCACCCGGGCAGCGGGGGCCACTGGCTGCGGCCGCTGTTTTGGCCGGCCACGGTGCGCCGCTGGCTGTCCACCCCGACGGCGAGCGGCCGCCCCGACCCCGCCTTGGCCCACCCGGTCCATCCGGGCAGTGGGGGGCTGCTGCCTCCCGCCACCGCCATTGGCTGGCCTGCGGTGCGCCGCGTGCTGCCCTCCCCGGCAGCGAGCCTCCGCCGAGGCCCTCGAGTATTCACTTACACCTTCTGCACCAGTGAGGTGCCCTCACCTGGCCCACCCTGTGCACCCCGACAGCGGGGGCCGCTGACCTCAGCCATAGTTTCGCAGGCCTAGAGATTGACACCAACACCAATATCGGCGTTGTGCATCCACC